AATTTTTTTTTTTTTTTTTTTTTGCAAATTGTCTGACTTTTCTTTTGCTTTTCTTTTATCTTGTCTTTTAAATATTAGGTTTATTGTTTAGATTATGTAATTTATTCTCTATTTTATTATTTTTCTTTTGGTTTTTTTTTTTTTCTCTTTCATATATGTTTTGTTTTTTTTTACTTTCTTTGATAAGTATAGATAGCTATACTATCAAGATTTAGGTAAAAAAGGTTTTAAAAAAAGGTTTAGACTTTCTGATAAAGCCTTTAGTTTTGTATAGTTTATACAGACTAGTGCAGCAAATTACATATAACAATGTCTTTAAATATGTCAAATAATATCAAACTTATAAATTAAGTATCAAATATTGTAACTCTAGTTATAATTAAGCTTAATAAAGCTCCTGGCAAAACTGTCTAAGTTTAAAAATAAAAAAAAATACAAATATAAATATATATTATATATATATATTAAAAAAAAATTAAAAAAAATAAGAGAAAAAAAAAAAAGAAAGATTAAATTATTTTTCTAATAATAAGTTTTATATAATAAATTTTTTACCGATTTTGATTAGAATTAAAAAATTAATAGTAATTTTGGCCAATTTTTAATTTAATTAAAAATTGATTAACTTTAAAAGAAAATAACTAAAAAAAATAAACTTTATAGAATTGTTCTTTGGGTTTAATTTTACTATTTTATAAAAGATTTGGTTTACAGTATAACTATTTTAATTTTTTATTTATAAACTTTTAAAAATTATGTATTTTATTTGCTAATTTAAGGAGTCCTGCACTTATTTATTTCTGTTATTATGTTTTATTGTTAAAGCTTGCAATAGCTTCGTCTTCAGAAGGCAGCTCATCCGTGTCTTGTGACAGTATTGACAAATATGAAGTTTTTTCGGTAGGTGAAATGTCGCAAGATAGAATTGGAGGTGAACTAGTGGGTGAGTGCAGTGTAAATCGTGTTTCCTCTATAGAAGTCGCCAATATCTGATCTTCCTGTTTATTTTGCTGCATGTTGTAATATGGAGAAATTTCATCCAATTTTTTGTTTACGCACATAGTATCTTCCTCCTCTTGTCGAAAAGAATGATGATCTATTTCCGGATATGTATCCTCATAAAATTCATCCATAACAAAAGGTTTTGAGAAATCTTGTGTATCATCTATTATGATTGGATTTAATTCATTGTTGACATCAGGTGTCGTATCAGACGTGATGATAAAAGAATCATTTGACCAAACCACATTTTCATTAAATAGATCAACATCATCCACAAACATTTCCCTTACGCTGTCTTGGAATAAAATATTTTGTATTGATTGAGACTCCGATTGAGATTCTGTTATTGTTGCATTACTTAAACTTACAAATGGTTCATTTTGGGATGATAAAGAATGAGTACTAGTGTTTCTCGAGGTAACTAAATCAATAGGATTAATACTTGATTGTGTTCTTTGATTTTCATTTGTTGACTCAGGTTCTTGGTTTGGTTGAATTTCTTGAGAACAATCTGTGACAGGTAAACTAATATATATTGTATTAATAGTAAATTAATTATTGGAATAATATTAAGCATTAAATTAAATATGATCGTTAATGTTGTACCCTAGTTGCTTCAACAAACGAATTCGAATTGCATTTATCGACCTATGCTCATTAGAAAATCCTCCGAGAACAGTTACATTTTCAGGTCCAAGAAGTAAAACACCTCGTAAAATCAAAGCTTTACTAACTGATATCTATAAAGAGGAAAAGTTTATTGAGAATTTTTACAGATAATTTTAAAGATCTTTAATTATGGTTGGTTTTTTTCTATTCCTGCACACCTTTATTCCAATTGGAGTAAGTAAATTCAGATTTGAAAGGGGTTTGTATTCAATAGCGTCAACTGATTGATAACCATCAGTTAATTGGAACTTAAGCATACCCCGTGGGAATTGAATCGATTCATATTGTCTATCACTTAAATCGTTATATTTATGACCCTGTTTCACAGAACCTGACAAGTAGCTATTTACTACATCAAGAAGTGATTGTGCAGAAACTCCAACTTCAAATATATCGGCTATTTGAAGTATAATTGGCTGATGTTCACCGATGATAATTTTGTGCTTATCTTCAATTAATGGAGGAAGATGTGGTTCCATGGATTTATTCAAGTCAGAATCTAAGAACTCATTATAAATTGTCTGATAAAGTCTTTGGTTGTCAAGATTCGCGTTTTCTGAGTAAGGGAGACGTTGTTGTAACCACGTATCCTGAAGATAGACATTATGAAGGGTTTCAAATTGATTTTTTATTGACGAGGAAGTCATAACACGTAATATTTTGAATTAAAAATTGTTTTTATCAGCATGAGAGAATTTTATTCTTTTATGTTACACAATTTTTTTTTATACAGTACCCGGCAGCAAAATAGCGTTCCGCATCCAAAATCTTGGAACCGGTTTTATTTTATGTTTACAGCTATTATCATAATTCCTGGGACCAGTGTTGGGCTCTGGACCAAAAGTCCGCTCTACTGGACTTATAAACTGGACTACTGGACTTATAAGTCCAGTGGACTATTTATAAGTCCAGTTCCAGTTCAATTTTACTGGACTTATAAGCGAGTCCAACACTGCCTGGGACACCTGAAAAGCTATATATTTTTTGTTTTACAGATCGTTATAACAACTAGGAAAACTTTTCATCCAATCAAAAATATATCACGTGTCGGACATCTGAGCGGGCTTTATAGATCATAACGATAAGTCTTATTACAACGAAATCGGCCACCAGGGACATGGAGAATATATAATTGACATGATGGCGTTCAATATTTTTAAAAATATTTATTCTAATAGACGTGTTTATTGGTGCAAAGTAAAATTACAAAGCTATAATATGATGAATTAAATATATAGTATCTATTTAAACTTTGAAGTTAGAATCGGGAGTTTTGGGCTCATCATATTAAGCAGTCTTTTAATCTTTGCTAAAAATTTATAATACTTTAAACAAGTTTTGCTTTTCACATAATAAATTTGGTCCCTCTTCGATTGGCAAAATAGCATTTTCTATCTTCAGACACGGCAAAATGGGTAAAATTCATAACCTATAATTGAAAATGTTGTAACCTAATTCGATAAATACTCGTTAGCATATATAATTATACTTTACACTATTTCGAGAATTCTTTGAAATATTTTGTCAGCCCTAGAGACCTCTTTCATAACCCAAATCTCATTCGTTATTTCTTCCCAAAATGGTTTGATTTCTTATTCTATTTATGAAGATTATTTTTTTAGAAAAAATGTTAATAGAATATCTTCAAAACTCAATCTGTTATAAATAAATACTATAATTTTCAGAATTTGCCCAAGTGTCTAATAAAATTTGCCGAGAATATAAACTTGAAAAGGAGTTGAGTTGTTTAGTCTATTAAACGCCACTACACCTCAATGAAAAAATATTTAAAGACTACAAAGCCACTCCAATTCGAAAAAAAGTTCTCTAACCTATTAAATATTACTACACCATAGTAAAGAAATATTTAAAAGTTTGTAAATTTATTTCTTTTAATTTAGAGATTGGAATCGATGAATTTCAAGTATTGTTTGGTTACAAACGTGCTTTTCGAGCATCGGTAAAAAATTTAGGGATGCACTTGGTTCTTAAAAAGACCGGTTTGAACCGGGACTGATAAGGACCATAGGACTTAGGGTTTGTGGCGCAGGGGTGTGATTTCAATTTGTCACAGAGGCATGAGGACATGATATTATTTATCACATGGAAATTATTAATTACTTTGTAATGTTTTACTAATTGTTATCATGTGATGATTTAGGTGTTATGCCGTGCTCTGCGTGATGATTTTCAACCCTAGTGGAACTGTTAAAAAAACCAGGCCAGGACCAGTTCTTGTAAACAAACTATAATATTCATATTCACCAAATCAAATTGCTTGATTAGATGTAACACAGATCATATAATATTTGTTTATGTCTAACATCATTTTTAACCAATATAGTAAACTAGTAATGTTCAAAAAATTTTGCTTTTTTGTATAAATCAAGTTTCTGGAACTTGATTTGATGATTTAGATTCAGCTCTCAGATTGCACCTGTGAAACATTAATATAAGCTTAATACTATTAACTAATATTATCTCTTAATCTGTCTAGCAGACAAATTTGCCTGCTTAATTTTTAAAAAATTAATTTTTTTTAATAAAATTTTAAATATTGATTTTAGCTATATATTTT